CAGGGCTTTTTTACTGCTTCACAGACTGCCTTTGCTCTGCAAAAGCCAAGGCTCGATGGCCTTGGGCTGGAGCCGTGGTGGTGTTAATTAGGAGGGAAATGATAGCTGGGTTCGTCCTTCCCCTGCTCGGGGATGGAGTGGGAGCCTCAGGCTGGTGTGCTCCTTTACCCACCTCCAGCAGAGAATTAAAGGCAGGTTTAAAGGTTTAAAAGTGATCACCACCTGCTCGGCAAGGAGACCAACAGTTGTGTTAGAGTGCCGGTAAGGGCCGGTGCATACTGACTGGGAACAAGCAGCGCCACGAAAACATCCAGTGTCCACCTGTTCGTGCCACAGCCCCATGGTGCAGGGCTCAGCCCAAGTCAGCTGTAGCATGAGCTGCTTCACTACCTCCAGTGCCGCGTGGCGCTGCCCGGCTTCAGCACCGAAGCCCCACGCTTGGGCACCACGGCCCGTCCATCTCCTCCTGTCTCTTCCTGTGGGGTAGCTCTGCTGTTCCTGTTGCCCTTCCCAGAGACCGTAGGGCAGGGCAGACCCTCTCTATGGTACTGCCATATCCTTTGCTTCTCTGATATTCCCATAACCTGCGTCATTGGACGTGGAAAGAGGAGCCATAGTGCTCTGGGGACATCAGGATGGAGCTCACAGCGCTGGAGAACAACACTCTTGGGTCAGGGTTTGGAGGAAGCCTCCCTGGGCTCTAGACAGCTCTTGTTCAGGCTAAAGGAGGGAATAATTCCCATGGGGAGAGCTGAGGCAACAGGAGCTGCCACCCAGAGCACCCGGGGCTGCTCCTGGGCCCCTGGCTGGGGCTGCGTGTAAGAGCAGGAGCAAGAGGGCTGGAGAAATGAAGTTCAACAAGGAGAAGTGCAAAGTCCTGCCTCTGGGGAGGGTCAGCCTCTTTCACCAGTATGTGCTGGGGACCACCCACCTGCGAAGCAGCTTGGCAGAAAAGGATCTAGGGGTCCTGGTGGCCACATGAGTTGACCATGAGCCAACAATGTGCTCTTGCAGCAAAGTATGCCAGTGGTGTCCTGGGCTGCCTTAGGCAAAATATTGCCAGCAGGTAGAGGATCCTTCCCCTCTGCTCTGCACCGGTGAGGCCACCCCTGGAGTGCTGGGTTCAGTGCTGGGCTCCCCAGTACAAGAGAGACAGGGACATACTGGAGAGAGTCCAGCGAAGGGCCATGAAGGTGATGAAAGGACTGGAGCATCTCTGCTACGAGGAGAGGCTGAGAGAGCTGGGACTGTTCAGCCTGGAGCAGAGCAAGCTTAGGGGGATCTCATCAGGGTGTATAAATACCTGGAGGGAGGGTGCAGAGAGGATGGAGCCAGCCTGTTCTCAGTGGTGCCCGGGGACAGGACCAGAGGCCATGGGCACAAACTGGAACAGAGGAGGGTCCCTCTGAACATCAGGAAACACTTTTTCACTGTGAGCAGCTCTTTTAGATTGACTCAAAAGGATGGTTATTTTCTTAACTTGGTGGCCCCCTGCCCCAAGCAAACACTTCTGAAATTAAATGACTAGTTTTATTTTGGTGCTTTGAAATGACTGAGTCAGGTCAGGTCGACCTGCTGGCCATGGTTCTTGTGATGCAGCCCAGGATACAGTTGGCTTTCTGGCCTGCAAACACACGTTGCCGGCTCACATCCAATTTGTCACCCACCAGTGTCCCCAAGTCCTTCTCCGCAGGGCTGCTCTCAACCCATCCATCCCCCAGCCTGTGCTGGTACTGGGGGTTGCCCCAACCCAGGTGCAGGACCTTGCACTTGCCCTTGTTGAACTTCATGAGTTTCACATGGGCCCAAATAGTTTGGGGGTTTACTGATGTTTCTTTCTCTCTCTTTGGGTGAAGTGGTTGACCAGAGTGGATGAAGTGTTTTTGGGGAACGCACAGTTGACAGCACAGGAGAACTGCCCCATCTGCTTGTGTTGGCACCAGGGGCCTCCCAAGAGCATCAGCTGATGGACGATGCGAGCCGATGTGATCGGAAAGGCTGCCCTCCGGCCTCTGCACCGCTGGAAAAGCCGGGAAGCCAACAGCTGAGCAAAACCAGGGGAAGGGGCTCAGTTAGCACCAGGACTGAGAAAAAGTAACAAGGCATAGAAAGGGCTCTGAGCATTGCTGGACGAACTGGCATGTCTCCTGGGGTCCTGTCTCCCACCATGACTAGAAGCAGGTGCTGAAAGATGGTGAGAACAGAGCCCGTGGGAGAGATGCTCCCAGCCACAGACACCCTGAGCCAGACGTGGCTCCTGCGTGTCCGGTGATGCCCATGCACAGCCCAAAGAGGGGTGCGAAGCAGCACCATCCCCACACTGCCACCCTGCTCCCGCGTCTCCTTGCCAGGCCAGAGAGTTCAGCCTGCCCGGGGCCTCCTCGGGTGGAGGCTGGTCCGTGCTGCCAAACCTCCCAGTTGCCCTTCTCAGGATGCTTCCACTTTGGCTCTGTCTCTTTTTTATATTCAAGGTGTGGGCGATAAAAGGACCTAGGCAATGGCCGAACAGTGGTCTCTCTTTTAATCTCCTTTCTTTTCCTAGTAATTCCTAGCATGTGATTTTCTTTCTCCTTTTTTTCTTGATTTTGACAGCCACTGAGCTCTGACCTTTCCTTGGGGCTGTATCGGGGCACTTGGAGCCTGTTGTCTCACCCGTGAAGTCAGGGTCGATCTTCCCCATGTGCTTCACTTTCCATCAACCCACCTACGACTGCACCTGCATTTCAGTGCTTTTCACTCAGCCTCTGAAAGCCCTGCAAGACAGCTCCATCTTTGTTACCCAAATAACTTCTTGATCCACCTGCAAAGAGCTCCAGAAGGTGAGGGGAGGCGGAACTCCTTTCTGCAAGGGCCATATTTACTCTTCCTATACGTACCCCAGTGTCCACTACGAAAGTTCCTCTACTTTGCTGGCATCAGAGTTGAAGGATGCGTCTCCTGAGAGTCCTGCGGTGTAACCACGGCTGTGCCGGTGATGGGGGCAGCTCAGACACAGCAGCTTTAGTAGCTGCTTGAGGCAGCGCTTCTGAAAGCCCCACGCTGGAGCTTCTGGCAGCTCTCTGCTGGGGGCCAGCAGTGCCTGCAGCTGATGGTGGCCAGCCACCAAGTCCATCCCACTCTGGGCACTGGGAGAACCTGGGCTGGTCACACAAGCTGATCCTTTGGGGTCAGTGGGGCTGAACATCGCTCCTGGATGCAGCTGCCTCCAGAAGACAGCTTGCCCACAGCATGGCAGAGGCCTTGCAGAAGCTGCAGGCCCTTTCCCACGCCACTCGGTTTATCTCCAGCATCAGCCCATCTGCCCCCAAGTGAGGTCTGTGAGACGTTCACTTTGGTGTGCGTCCCAGTGAAGGGGGCTTTTTAAAAAGCATCCTGCCCTCCAGCAGCCTTCAGGCCTGGGACTTTGCTCTGGAAGTGGGAGAACTGTAGGCTTTTCCCTGGTGCAGCAGGGAATTAGGGAAGGAGCTTGGCATCTACGAGCCCGGAGGTGGGCTGGTTTGGGGCTGTTGCTGCAGAGCATGAGCCATGACGCTGGGGAGCTCCCCAGGAGAGCATGTGTTCAGCCTTTCACATCTCTGTGGCCCTGATAATTTAGTTCATCTTTCCTTTTGTTGGTGGTGCCTGGGAAATAGAAGCACCAAGAACCAAGGAGAAGCTTTTCAACCATGGGTCATCTCTCAGGTGAGAGCATCGCCTGTGGCCTGGCAGGTCTCTGAGCATGGATGGGGCTGTGGACCCCTCTGATCCCAGCAGCATGCGCACGCGGAGCTCCTGCAAACCCCGTCTGAGCTTTCCCAGTGCGCTGGGAGCATCTCTGGCATGCACTGTGCCCTCGCCAGGTTCTGTGAGTTTGTTATCACGTTTTCCCCCATTTTAAGTAAAGAGATGCAAGAAACCCATCTTTCCAGGGCAGGGAGATGGGCTGACTTCAAGGAGCACTTACGACAGTAGCTTTGCAAGGCGGGAGCCCCCTGCGCTCCCACACCCTTGTCAGGGTGGTGATAAATAACCAAACCAAGGGGACAACCCCCCTCCCCATTTCTTACCCTCCCTGTCTCTCACCCCCACCCCTGCCCGCTCAGGGTGACGCAAAAGGGTGGCCGAGCCCCTGGGACCCCAAACCAGCTGATGGGGACAGTGTGGCCAGCACCTTGCCAAGTGTATCTCAGCCCACCCATCTGCCCACCCCGATGTGGGGCCCGAGCAGAGCGACCCTCATCCCATCAGCAAAGGTGGAAAATGATGCTCAAGCTGATTTTACGTGGGTTGGGAGCGATTTGGCTTTGAAAACAGGCTGCCCCACTGGAAGGGGCCCTGGCTGGCAACTGCAGCGAGGTGGGGAGATGTGGTGCCCAAATCCACCAGGCAGGCGGGCAGCGCGGCACGGCACAGCGCCGATCCACGAGGGAGCCACACAGAGAACATCTCCATATCACACCCATCAGGTTTTATACGCCACTTTGACTTCCCGAATCCCTCAGATCACAGGCTCTAAAGCCATAAAACAGCCAGGAAGGAGGAAACAATGTGGGTTTTCTTTTGTGAAGGAAGGGAGTGCGGGAGAAGAGGGGAGAGATGCTTTCTCTCTGTGCTACGGCCCCAAGATAGGGATTGCCTGGGCTCGAGCCAGCCAAAATCCCCACAGGCCAGCACTCACCTGGGATGCTCACCCCGGCCCCAGGGACCAGCGGCATGGTGGCTTCGAGGGGGTCAACGGCTGCTTGGGTGGGGTCACAGCCAGGCTGGGGGTCCCAGTGGGGCGAGCCTGTGGGTGGGAGAGGCGATGGGAGGGGAGGTCTGGGGCTGATGGATGGGCACACAGCGGCACAGTGATGGGAGCGCTTGCGGGTGAACTCCACATAGTTGAAGTTGCCCTTCTTGTCGATGGGCGCCTCCCGGCACATCTCATCCACCTCCTCGTCGGTGGACCTGTCTCCCCTGGTGGTTAGCAGGTGGGGGGCGGGGGGCGGGGGGTGTGCACAGGAGGTGGCAGAGGGGGTGAGCGGCCCCGGGCTCTAATCGTCCTTGTCCTTGGCCCCGTGCTTCAGGATGCGGGTGAACTCCACATAGTTGAAGTTGCCCTTCTTGTCGATGGGCGCCTCCCGGTACATCTCATCCACCTCCTCGTCGGTGAACCTGTCTCCCATGGTGGTCAGCAGCTCACGCAGTTGGTCCTCATGAATGAAGCCTGCAGGGATGGCAGGGGGTGGCGTTAGCAGGGGACACTGTGGGAGGGCTGAGCAGCAGGACTTTCCCCACCTTTCCCGAAGACACCCCTGCCCAGCTCTCTCACTCTAGAGCTGCCGTACATCTCATCCACCTCCTCGTCGGTGAACCTGTCTCCCATGGTGGTCAGCAGCTCACGCAGTTGGTCCTCATGAATGAAGCCTGCAGGGATGGCAGGGGGTGGCGTTAGCAGGGGACACTGTGGGAGGGCTGAGCAGCAGGACTTTCCCCACCTTTCCCGAAGACACCCCTGCCCAGCTCTCTCACTCTGGAGCTGCTTGGGGACTGTCCCCAAGGATTTGGCCCCTGCCCTCGTCTTGCTTGCATGCCCGAGGGTAAGGCGCCCAGGCAGGCAGCATGGGGCTGTGCAGGCGGTGCCCGTACCTGCTGCCTCCTCGTCGAAGCAGGCGAAGGCATTGCGGATGACGTCCTCCGGGTCGGTGCCGTTCAGCTTCTCCCCGAACATGGTGAGGAACATGGTGAAGTTGATGGGCCCCGGCGCCTCGCTCATCATGCCCTCCAGGTACTCGTCAGTGGGGTTCTTCCCTGCCCGACACAGACAGGGTGTGGGTGCAGGGCTCTGTTCCCCTCCCAGCATCCCTCCCCAAGGCCACCCCACAACCAGAGAAGGGGTTTTCCGCAGTGCCCAGTGCTCCCCACTCAGCTTCTCTCCCCATACTTTAATCTGTGCCGGAGGCTACCTGGAACCAAGCTCTGCCAGGCTCAGCCTCGAGGGAGGTGCAAGAATTCATCTGGGGGTTACCGGGAACTAAACCCACAGCTTTTCCCCATTCCTCTGGCAGCTGACACCCAGCACCACCCGAGGAGAGGGGCAGCAATGTCCCCACACAAGCCTCGTGCTGCTGATGTCCCTAGCACTGCTCCTACCATGGATGCACCAGGGATGGTTTAACCTCTTCTGCTGAGGTCCGCGTGCCCCCAACGCCTGGCCCCTCTCTGCTCCCAGAGCTACGGCTCACAGGGAGGAGGGACGTCCCTCCCACAGCCAGGCAGGACCTCCAGAACAGGTTTGGCTGCCGGGCCAATCATTGACAGACCTCCCAAAGCGCCGTGGAGGTACCGCAAGGAGCAGGAGGTGGGAGCCATGGCCTGCAGCAAAGGAGAACGGGCTCTGGGTGGGGAGCGTGGCCAGACCTGCAAGTCTCAACCGGCCAAGGTATCGTGCCGGCTCAGGGACCAGCCTCTTCTGTCACCCAGGCTGAGAGCAATGGGAGGGCTTTGTCCCGCAGGGGATGACCCCAGGCAATATTCTGGGGTGAGACTACTCAAATACTCAATGGCTGCAGCTGGTGGTTGCTCCTAGGGCAGAGCTTCTCCAACCCCAAGGGTCTCTTCCCTTCTAGTGAGCATGGCTGTAAGAACAACACACCAAGCTGCTGCCTTTGGGTGCCTCCACAAAGGCACCTACGGTCAGCTGGTGCCAGCAGAGAAATCCCCCCCCAGATTTTGCAGCCAGCATCGGGCTGGCCCAAAGCAGGAGCACTGTGACTCAATGGCATCCCACTAAAGCTGGTCTTCAATGCTGGGTGTGAGGCACTAGGTCACCCAACAGCTCTCCCCACTTGCCGAGGAGGCGTTGAGGGCAGAGGGTCTGAGGGACATGTGGAGGCACGAGGGAAGGATCTCCTCACCAAGGGAAGCCAGCATGTCGTGCAGATCCTCCTTGTCAATAAAGCCGTCGCGGTTCTGGTCGATCATGTTGAAGGCTTCCTTGAACTCCTGGATCTGCGACTGGTCAAACATGGCGAAGACGTTGGAGGTGGCACGCTGGGGGCGCTTCTTGGTGGTCTTGGCTTTGGCACGTTTGCTGGACATCTTGGCGGCTGGGGTGGTACCTAGGGGTAGGGCAGCAGGCAGGAGCGTCAGGAGGGCTGGGGACAGGCAGACCCTGGGGGGCCAGAGCAGAGGCAGGGACACACAACTCCTGGCACTGCCAGTCCCGTGCCTCAGTTTCCCTAGCTGTCACACAGTTTGGCAACTAAGGTGAGATAAGGCGGTCGCAGGGTCGGACATGGGGACAGGCGAGACGGGCTCTAATGAGTCCCCTGGGAAGTCACAAGAGCAGGCAGCGCTCACTGGCACCCCTTCCCCAGGGCTGTCCCCATGGGCTGCAGGCAGGGCTCCCTGCCTGCACCCTTGGCCCCCAAACTCCCAAACCTGCTTGCTGCCTGTCCCCTTTGCATCCCAGGCACAGGGAGAGATGCCAAGCACAGCACCCAGCATCCCCCCACTGCCATCAGTCCCAGGGGGGGCATGGGGACAGGTGCCTTGGCACTTTGGGCAGAGCTTAGCCATGCCCCCCCCCATGCCTCCCCTCCTCCTCTGGCAGGTCTCTCCCCAGCCCAGCTCCCGGGGCGATGGGTCTCCCTGGCATCCTCCATTTCGCTGGACAAAAGCAGCCCCCAGCCACGTCCCCGGGAGGTGGGCTCGCGCAGCACCCAGCACCCAGCGGGAAGGGGTTATCTGCTCCGGGCACATTCCTCACATACCACCGCCTCCCTTCCCCCTCCACCCTGCGCTCCATCCATCCCACCTCCCGCCACCGGGTCCAGCCAGGCCAAAGGCCGCTTGCTGCCTCCCTCCCCGCCATGGTGCCCGGGTGTGCCCCACGCTCTGCCCCGGGAGCCCACGGGAAGGGCCCCGAAGTGGAGGGGAGAGAGGCTAGTGGACCTCTGGGGGGCTGCAAAGCCCCTGCGGAGCAGGGGGAGAGCAGCCAAGCAAGGCTGGGACCGCGGGGTGCTGAGGACTGGTGTTGTTGTTACAGGTAATGAATGCCAGGAGAAGGGAACAGCCTGGAGGGGCAAAGAGGGGGGCAGCAGTGGGAGGGACAGACCTTTGGGGACATGGCTGGGGCAATGCGTGTCCCATGGGGAATAACAAAGGGACCATGTGGACCCCAAACACCACCGAGGCAGGACCATGGCAGGAAAACCTGGTCTTTGAAAGGGGGGGGTCCTGCTCCCGGCCCGTGCTGGCGAGCACCCAGCAGAGCCGGGCTGGAGCAGAGAGCTCATTCCCACCCTGAGATGGTACCCAAGCCCCTTCACAGCCTCCGAGCAGGGGTGTGGTGATATCCCCCCACGCTGCCAGGCTGAGGGATGCAGCCAGTATTTAAGACACCCTGCGCCATGGCTGCTGGGGACCCAAATGGGATCTGTATGGGGTGCTTGGCACCCCCAGCGACCACCAATGTTGCCTGAGAGGAGGATGCTCAGACCTCTCCCAGTTGAATCCTGCCAAGTGTAACTCAGCGAGATACCAGCAAAGACCAGCCTGGCAGAGGGACGGTGTTGGCTGCCAGCTCAGCACGGCCCTGCGAGAAAGTCTGGGGTGAGGTCAGCCCAAGGGAGAGATGCTGCTCAGAGCCCTCATGTTTCTACTGCAGCCATTTCTCCCTCACACACAGCCCTGTGCCTCAGTTTCCCCATCTGGGTCAGCACCTGGCATGGGGAGCAGCTGGGGAGGCAATGTTAAATTAATGGATTATGAATGAATTCCATGGGGGAAGAGCAAAGTAGTAATACTGCTGTGTGCCCCGTGCCATGGTGGGCAGGAGGGCTGCCTGGGTTCCTGCCTTCTCTGGCAGGGGACACAGAGCAGTTAAGGAGCCACATCATGTTGCATGAAGCAGCACAAAGCAACAACACCAGCGAGCTGCGTGCCAGCAACCGTGCCTGGCTGGTCTGGCCACCCTGGGCGTGCTGCTCCAGGATCCGGTTCCCAGCTGGGTCCTTATTGCTGACGCACCCAGGGGGACCACAGGGCCTTGGGGAGCATCCCTCCCAGAGGGACCCCAGCACTGGCACGGACTAGGGCAAAGCAAACAGCCTTCTCCTGCACCCGCACAGCTCCTGCCAGCCCTCCCCAGACCGTACCTGCTTTCCAGGTCTTTCCCTCCCCTCCTGCTATCCCTCTTTCAAGGAGTTGCAGCGGTGGGGGCTGGAGCAGCCACCAGCCTGGTCCCCACCCTGCTGCAGCCCCCAGGCTGCCCTAGCTGGGCTGTGCTGGAAGGACATCCCCGGGGGCCGCAGTAAGTGCCAAATCCCAGCTACGGTGTCAGTGCCGGCAGGGCTGCCCAGCACCGCGGAGCCCAGCCAAGCTCAGAGGGGGCTGGGGACTCTCCTCCCACCCCGACACCCGCTCCCATCCCACTGCGGGACCAGTGCACCATGCCAGAGAGCCTGGCAGCACCCACCGAGCCCAAGTTGGGCCCTTCATCTGCAGGGTACATGCTCCATGTCCCCCAGGAGACAGTCCCCGCCTCGTCCCCCGTGAGCCCCAGTGGCTGCAGGCACTGGGATGGAAACCACACTGCCCTCAGCCCCCTCCTTTGCGCTGCCCTGGCCAGCACCCAGCGCCTAACAGCAGTCATCAAATCACCCCACCATCCCCAAAACGCTCGGTCCTTTCCCAGTGCTCACCAGGAAAGAGATGTTTGTCACCAGCCAGCTGAGGAGAGCAGCAGGACTGGAGAGCCCAGCCATGCCCACGGCTGGGTGGGCAGGAGATCTCACCCCCTGCAGCCCACCTCTTGCCCGCTCCTTCCTCCAGCACGGCTGCACCATAAAGCTCTTTGCAACGGGACAGTCTCTTTCTGCATGCCCTGCCAGACACCAGCGTGTGCTGCTGGTCCGTAACCATCCCCCAGGCAGCAGCATGGGGAAGCTCAGCTGAACACCACAACTTCGCTGTGCCGGGCCAGAGCCAGCAATAAAAGTTCTGCCACTGGCCCACAGCACTGGGCTCAGCTTTCAAAACATGCTGAATTATTACCCGAATTATTAGCAGAAGACTAGAGAAATAAGCAGGAGTTTTGCTCTCACCACATGAATTAATATTATACAAATATTTACCCTGCCACGGCTGTGACCAGCAGCAGAAGCACAGCTTGGCACCCTCTCCAGAGAGATGGTTCTTAGGGGGATTAAGTGCGATTTTGACAGCACATGGTTTTGCTGTTTGATCCAAAATATGCCCTGGAAAGATGCTTGGTCCCAAGGTCCAGCTCAGCCTGGTCATCTCCTAATCATTCTATTTCTGCTGTTAGCAGACCTCCTTGGGCTGGCTGGGACTTGGGAAGAGACTTCTTTGGGTCAGTGCGGGGAAAGGCGCCTCTTGCATGAGGCAGAAGTGATTTGCAGCGAGGCCTGATTCAACAGGGGTGATCCATGCTCTGCACGAGGTCTCAATGGCCGTGCTCCCCTGGTCTTCGAGCCCATGCTTTCTGGGATTCCCAAAAACCCGATGCCCAGACCATTTCAGGGAATGCCTGGCCATGATGCCCTGCACGCTGGGGTGGACTCAGCTGAGCCAATTGCTGCAGCCACTAAACCTTCGGCTTCCTCCTCGGCAAGAAGGAAACCCACAGAGACTGGTCCTGCTCCTGCCACCCCCTGCTGAAAGCCCCAACCCAGCACTGCTCCAGCCCAGGAGCTGCTGATCTCAGGCAGCAGAGCCGAGGAGGTTAGCCCTGGGGTGAGACCGCAGCCAGCCTGGCATGAAAGCCATGCACCGATCTGATCACCACACGCCCTGTCACCGGCTGCCCTTATTCCCTCGTCCTTCTGCCACCACTCCTGCCAAGATGATCTCCCTGCCTCCTGCACCACTGGGCTTATGCCTTCCCCATCTGAGAGTCAGACCCAAGGGGCCATGGGGCTGGCTTAAAAAGTTCATAAGTTAGTAAAGAAAATAGTTTAGTTTTAAAGAGAAAGAGCAAAGACCCACAGTCATCAGAAAAATAAACCGCCATGTGTTTCCTCTTTGGTAAAAAACAGACGAGCAACTCCATCCTGGTGCTGCTTCCTGACCATGCTGGGGAGGGTGGGATAAGCCAAAGGGACGTCACAGTGCTGCCAGGGCAGGTGGGCCCCGTCCCGTCCCCGTCCTCCTCCCTCCTGCCCACTTCCACCCTTCCCTACCCCACATCTTCTCCTGTGCTGCTCCAGCTCACTATCCCAGCTGAAAAATAAAACAGCAGGGAGCTGCTGCTGGGCCAGCGGGCTGAGCAGGCTTGTGGCAGGTCTGGCTGGCAAGAAGGAGGGGTGCCCGGGCAGGGAGGGAACGGGGCAGCTCCCCTCGTGGTGGCAGCAGCCTGTCCCCAGGCCCTGGGGTGTTCCCATGTATTCAAAAGCTACGATCACCCGGGATATGCTGCTAAGGTTTCCCAAGGGTGGCTCCTCCAAAGCTGGCCATGCAAGTGCAGGAGCCACCTCTAAAAGTGCTGATGAGGCTCCAGCACCGTGTGGGGCTGCCCTGCAGTCTCCAGCACAGCCGGAGAGGGACATCATCTCCTGCTTGCAGTGAGCTCCTCTCCGCCACGAGATCCCAGCAGTGAGATGCATGATGTGCGTCTGCTGGATGCTTTTGGTCAGGGTAGGGAAAGAGCGATTCAAACAGCCTGGGCTGTCCCAGAGGACACCCCTGCAGGGTGAACGATGGCTCCTTGGAGGGACTGTGGTTAAATCTCTGCCCAATGGCTCTTCCCAAAACTAGTTGCTAGTACCAGTGAGCCACAACACAGCTGCGTTTACTAAGGGGCAAGCACTGGCCCCCCACAACACATGGCCAGCCACACCTCGACACATTACAGTACCGCAGGGGGTGTAGTCCAGCCTGAGGGCCAGTGTGGGTGATGCCTTGCAGCATCCCACACTGGCACAGGACGCTGCAGGGCAGTGCTGCAGGCAGGGCATCCTTCCACCTGTAAAGCTTTGCCGTCTGCCAGGCACCTCTCCCAGCACCAGGACTGCCCAGAAGCGGACATGCCGCCTCCGGAGCCAGCGGGACACACGGACCAGGTTGTCATATGCTGGAGGAGTGAGCAGGGAGCAGCTCGTCTTCCCTGCCTAATTCACTGTTAATCCGTCCCTTTCCTCCAGCACAGCCCTGGTCGGGATGCCCTTGTGATGTGGCATTGCTCAGCTCCGGCCCTGCTGCCAAAGGGTGCCAGTGCCGGGGGAGCTGCACTGCCGGCCGGAGGCACCGGGAGCTGCAGAAGGAACCCCCCCGTCCTGCTCGGCACTGCAGGAACAGAGGTGGGCTGCCACGCTGCTCCTTTTTTGGCCTTATTAGAGATGGATGTGGGAAAGGGAGTTTGGAGGCGAGGGGAAAGCAGAACACGAGCCCTGGGCTGTGTCCCCAGACCAGCCACAGCCACCAGCACTGAAGCCGGCGAGCAGGTTTCGTGTGCGGATGGGAAGGAGCAGGGCAGCACCAAGGAGCCAGAGCTAAGTGTGCAGCAACCCCTGGGAGGGAGAGTTCATCCAGCCCTCCCTCAGCTCCCGCCGCACACCGGGGGCACCAGCAGGCCCACGCACAGCTGTGGGGCTCAGCTGCAAGTTCGGCAGACGGTTTCTGGGCTAGCTCCTTCCCACCAAGTTTAGGGGACAAGGACCTCACTGTGCCCATGTGGCACATGCAAACCCTTCCAAAGCACAACTTCTGGGGCCACCATGAGAAGACCGTGCACAGACACCATCACCACGCAAAAGACCCATCACCGAGCACCCTTCTGATGCCTGGGGAGGCTGGGAAACAGGACCATGGGGCAGAAGGCCTTCATGGCCCCAGGCCACCATGCCCTGGGCTGGGTTTGATATTTTCCCAGGAGAATTAAGGGGCTCACCTCAGCAGGGGAATCTGGCTGCAGCGCCTCAGAGGGGGAGGTGACCGCAAACTCCTCCTACAGCCGCACAGAGCCTGCCAGTGACGAGAGGAAAAAAATTCAAGTGACTAAAGAAACCCAACCATCTTTGGTCAGCGGCGGTGGTTGTTGACACTTGAGGATGTTCTGCTCCAAAGAATGCTGCTTCGGCCGCCGCCTTCTCCTACACATCCATGTTTTAGAGCCTCCCCTGGCTTTTATCACAGACGTAACTTTTTGTACCAAAAGGGCACGCAGGGAGGGAAGCCAAGAGGACCTCAAGTTTTCATGGGCAAGGCTAAACAAAACACAACGTTCCTCTGTGTTTAAGACTGAGGGAAATGAGCTAAATAAAGCTTTTCTGCCTTACAACATTTTATTGCCTGAAGTTGCTCACAGGTCACTGGGGAGATCTCTGGAGCATCATGCATGCATCTGGATCTTGGCTCTGGCCATCAGCAAAAAGACTTGGGGGAAAAGCAGATGCTCCAGACAGGAACAGCTCTCTCAAACCGGGAGGCAGGTGAAGCCAAAGGCGGCAGGATCTGCTCTTGCAGCGCTGCCGTCCCAGGGAAGCCGGGATGTCCCAGCTCCAAGTCATTGCGGACAGTTACCGAGAGCTTTGCTCAAGACCGATCCTCGCCTCCCCTGGCTGGGACATCCCTGCCGGGCCGCGGAGAGAGGCTCTCCCCACCTGCCCGGGCAGAGGGGTGCCTGGCAGGGACGCACCGGGGCCTCTCCTACCGCTGTATCCCCCCCCCCCCCCGGGCCCACCCCACCACCCCCACCACCACCGCGGCACCG